TCTTGTATGACAATTGTATTGTGAAACAATATGAACAATATTCAAATATTATGGCAAAAGCAATATATTTTTTGCTTTGCTTAGTATATTAAGAAAATTAATCGACCACAAATATGATTAGTAATATTATAAAACTAGAAAAAAATTAAATTATTTTAATAATAATTGAAAATGCCTTACATTATTTGGATAGGCAACTTAGATGTTATCTAAATGTTAGCGCCGAATCACGGAGCTTTATGAAAATATATTTTGAAAATCGATTTTTATTTACACGTATTAATTTTTTAGTATTTACCCGTGCTTTATATTTTTTTTAATTATCTCTTCAAAAATATTTTCTATATCGATCCCGAATAAGCTGTGATCCGACTTAAGTTCATACAATTATTAATGATTAATTTAACTGAAAGGAGAAAAAGAAAAATTACTATAAGAATCGTATTACTTAAATGTTATTTGAAGATAATAGAAATTTAAGTATAACTCTAGGTGATCTGATTTTAACTAAGGGAATTATAGAGTTGACAAACATTATATTTATCAGTATTTTAATTGTCAAGTCATAAAATATACTAATTTCAGTAAACGTAAAAAATAATTTTTTTTTTCAATTTATGATATTTAATTAAAAAAGTTTATCTATGATTCATAGTATAAAACTACTAACAGATATTAGTTTAATAATTAAATTTAAACTTAATAATAAATAATTAATATTAAATAGTCACAAAATAGATGTCTGGCGCGTGTGATATAATAATTGACAACACATAATGTCATACCACATTAAAAAATAAATAAATAATCAGTTTTTAATAAATTAAAATATTTTACAGTAAGGACTTATGCAATTTATATATACATAACGAAAAAAAAATTACGCATACAAGCCACACACTTTTTTTTTTTTACGTAAAAAAACATGTTTATATATAATCATTTAAGATAATTTGTTGTTAATTAATGTAGACATTAATGAACAAAATATTACCTTAAATAATCAACGCTAAATGTAGTACACAATAAAATATATTATTAAAAGTTAAAAAAATGTTATTTGTGAAACCCGAATAGTAATATAAGTATTAATATATATGAGAAAAATAAATTATAACTTATTATTCAAAATCAATTTTGTTAAGCCGCGTCTACCACCGTAGGTGAACGGATGGGTGACCATACGTGCTCTTTTTCGGTGGCAAAAAAACACCATGTTCTCAGTGCAGAAAATAACGAGAAACGTGCACTAATAAATTTCTTATTAATTCATTAATTATACGTTGTTTTATAATGGGTTTTTAAATTAATTTTCAAATATTATTTTAACCTTTAATGTATAAGGTTCAATCATGTTTTAGCATCGACGCGAAGCTGAGAAGGTATTGGTTTTACTATGATGCATTTTTTTTTTTTCTGTGTCTGTTACCACATTTTATCAGCTCTCATCAAATTGATTTCTTTCAACGATACGTCAAAAGATCACAAATTGTATCTAATCGAAGACATTACCCTCCAAAATTGAAAAAATTTCCCTCGTTCCCTGTAAATTGGGGAAACCACCAAAAAAATATATAAATTTTTTTTTTTAGATGCTTGATGTCTTTACCTATCATTTGGTATATTTTTTTTATAAATCTGACCTATTATCTGCCCACAGGGGGGGATTTAAAATGACAACTTTTGCACAAAAAATTTATTTTTTTAACTTAAATTTTGAAAGTGTTTCGGAAAGTCTGACACTTTTATATATATCTTAAATTAAAGCTTATGTAATATAATTTAATATTATAAAAAAAAAATTTGAACTTTATTTTGTCTTTACGGCGAAAATGGCTACCAAATGCTATTTTTGTGTGAAAATTCTGGATTTTATTTTTTACATTTTTAACTTTATAATGCTATAACTTATTGAAAAATGTATGAATCAATACAATTTTTTTATGAGAAATAATATTTATATCCCTTTTTTATTTGACATACATTATCTTAATCAGGATATAAATAAAGAAATAGCAAATCATGTAACTTTTGGAATAATCCACCAATTTTTTTTAATTAAACACTATCTAAAGATTTGCATTGAAGAGTTTTTTTTTTTTTATAGTAATTTTAATCACTGTCAGATATCATTATACTTGATCTAACTATGCCACGTCACCACTATGCCCGCGACCCCTTTGTGCTGATTTTTTTTATTCTGTATTTAAGTTTATTTATTCAATTTTACTATAAATATTTATCTTGGAAAATTAAACCTCTTTATTTTTATAATAAATAAATCTTAACACTATAATAATTATGTACAATTTTTAATGAACTTTTTGAGGTTTATAATATTTGTTAAGAAATCAAAAGACATATTTTTATTTGTCATGTATTAAAATTAAATTTGTTCAAACTTATTTCTATATTTATTTAATTGTTTAATCTCGTAGTGATATTAAACTTAATTTGACCTTCAGAATTTTAGTGTATAAAATTAGAAAAGCATCTTGTAAAATGCATACATGTATTTTTTGTTATACGTATTTAACAAAAACCATTTTTAAATCTAACAGCTGATACAAAGAGTTCATTTTAGCTTCGATGTAAAGTTGAATTTATATTAATCTGTTGCTATTTTTCTGTATCCATGTACACGATTATTCTCACTCCTATTGGACAAATTTGTCACAACAATACGTCAATAGATCACAAAAAGTATCTAGTTAAAGTTATCAGTACTATAATTTTAAAAAATTCCTCGTAGTTATGATATTAAGGAGATATGTCCCAAAAAATTAAAGTTTTCATAAAACGTACAATGTTGATATTTTTTACTTTATACAAAAATAACTTTATGAAATCTGGATGGATTATTTCGAAAATTTTATTAATAATACTTTAAACTTTGTCTCACTGACGAGATTATTTTTTTGAAAATTTAATCATTAACTAAGGACTTAAATTAATGAGTTAAGTTAACAGAAGTATTTTAGTCTAGGATACTGTGAGAGCTTAAAAATCATATCAACATTTTTACTTTTCAATTTTTGATTATGTTCTAAAAGACATGACTTTTTTAAGTCTACATAAAATCAAATATTAATTCAATGTAATTTAAGATGACAAACAAAACTATTGACATTTTAATATCTAGGAGTTGCCGGACATTATAGCCAAATATCATAAATATTTAGTAAAATGGTCGATTTTGTAGTGTTTTTCATCAGTGGCCTGGCCCCCCGCCCACTCAATGGTCATAAAATAAAAATATCAGAGTAGTGGAGGGTGAATACTCCCACTAGTCTATGTTCTAAAAGCTATCTGGATCCCTCCAGTCAAAATTTCCAAATAGGATTACTGTTTAGCTGAGCAATGGAAAATCTACATTTTTTTACAATCTACATTTCAACAAAGTTGACCATTAGAATTTTGAAATGGTCTCGTATTATTATTTGATATTCAGAATCATAACCGGTTTCTGTTATGAAAAATAAATTGTATTTGACGTATACGATAAATAGTTTTGTTTTTTAACTATTTTTATGCGTACGATAATATATGAATAATTTTTTCGTATCTACCAAATCGCATCGAAGAGTTTTGTGATTTTAATCGTTGTCAGATATTAATTAATACTAATTTAAAAATGTTTCTACTTCACTTTCTTAGATCCCGACCGTACTTTACTTATTATCTTTACTGATAACTATTTAGGGAGTGTACCCTAGAAATTAAACTATTCAAATTTACTAAATTAGTTTTTTACCAACTAGTTTTATTTAAAAAAATAATAATTATTCTAATATAAAGCTTGGAAAATATCATTTGTTGATAGACGATTTTTATTGTATAGTTTGAACTGACATACTTATATTAAAAAAATATTATTATAGAAAATGTCACTTAAATCTGACTATTCATCGTGCTCATACAGTTTTAAATACTTCTACTTTGATCCTTTTAAAACTCGTCTTATCAACTGCTTAGTAATGGCACGTATACTTATTGTATAGTTCAAATAATATAAATAAAAATGTTGACAAATGTTTTTTTCTTTCAATAGTTTTCTTGGCCTATTATAATGAACTAACACTAGACTCATTGAAACATTTTTAGATTTACTCTTATAAGTGTATAACTACTATAGCAAAGACACCATAAATAGCACAGTTAAAAAAATATATATACTTTCATTACAGGTACCTAGTCACTTTAATAACAAAAACAGTAAACATTATTTTTTTCCTGAAAACCAACATGGAGCTTATTTCTAACAAGGCAGTGAATTTTCATAATTCCAATGTCTTTTAAAAGTTTTAAATTTATTTTCCAAGAACAATTCAGTATGGGATGAAACGTTTGTAAACACACGCGAAAGCACAAAAAGAAAGTAATCGAAGGAACGGCAGTAATTTATTTTGCAGAATTAACAGTTTTTCTCGTGCAATAATAGATAAAACGGAGTTAACATCTGAAAAATGTTATTACAATAAATTCTAAGTACTCTATTTACTATTCTAACCGTATTAATGGACAGATGAACAATAAACTTAAGTCGAGCATCCTTTATTTAAAAATCATTTGATAATTGTCTGTTTATCATGCATCAGGTAGTTATAGCACTCAACAAATTGCATGAGCCTCTTGCTTAACAAATTTTCTATCGTTTTTGTGTATCGTTATTATTATTATGCGTTTAGCATCGACAAACAATGCCGGTCGTGCTGCTAACGCTTGTGACTGTGTACACTTCTTATTTATTATAACATTGATGCACATGTACGAGCCAAAAGATAAATGAGATTACACAATTTTTTTTTAATATGGAGTACTCCTCTCTGGCGTTGATGACACAAATTTCGATTTGTAAATAAGTGCAGAACACCACTACTACAGGTAGAGGTACCTATCATTACCACCGCAGTTAGAACTATATTATATACTTACCTCGCCTCATGATGTTCTGCTATAGCTAACGATTCATACCAAGCTCCGGTCGGTGTACCGGTCATGCACAGTCGGATTCTGAACACCTTCACCGGCGGTACACTGTAACTGCAACTCGCCGCTCTTTTCGTACTGAGCGTTTATTATTATTTTATTCGTTATCGAATCGACAAATTATTGGTGTCCACGCGAATAAAAAGAAAAAAGTTATCAGCCGTATCTTAATAATTATTGTTTTTCAATTAAATGTAACTTAGGGCGCGCAATCATTATGACGGGTTCGGACAAAGGATACACGACAAGGATTAATATCCTTTCGGCGTGCACCCGTTCCGTTGAAGTCGCCAAACACAAACGAGTATTTACCTCGAAAAGGTGCGTACAAATATATTTCCTTGATCTATACAAAACTGATCTTACAAGATTTTTGTTTTTTAATATATGCAAATGATATAGAAAAATTAATAATGTATTCAGTGACTCAACTAGGGAGTTAACTTCCCTCCCTCTCTCAAAATGATATATTTGACAATTGTTGCGACGTTTGGTCAATAATAATAAAATTGTTTTTTTGCTCGTCAACTTCAAATTTTATGAAATTATTAACAAAACAATTATTTTTTAATTATACTCCCTCTTCTTCCGAGAAAAGTATCCTGATTCCGTTGCTGAATGCATTTATTTTATTTGAATTAAAAGCTTTTAGATTTTCTGTTTAGTTTTGAATGAAAGTTAAAACTTAACGGTAACGTTTAAAAATTATTATATTTACTGTTGCAATATTTTTAATTATTCGCCGGTTATTATTGATTCTCTGTTGGAATTTACAAAAAATGGATATCAAAACTAACACTGACAATTTGTAAACAGTTCATTTGAAATTGATGTAATTTTCCTAAACTATTAAATAAAAGAAAAAAATTCTCATACAAGAAAAAAATTGAGTTAAAAATAAATTATGATATCTGTTCTGATATGGTGTTGTTATTATTATATTTACGACTACATTTAATTGAGTATTTTTTTGTTGCAAGTTATAATTTCTTTTATTGCAGTTTAAATGATTTGAAAATTGTTATAAGTAAAAAGTATAACAATATTTTTTTGACATACCAATAGAAAGCCATTCGAATTTTATGTTTAGTAAAGAATGTTTTCATCAAAAAATATAATTATTTTCAATTTTTTTTTTTAATGAAATTTGGTTTATATTAAATATAAATAAATCTTAACTATAGTTTACAATGAAAAAGACTAATTTGATTTTTCAATACTTAATGATGCTAATTACACTAAAATTAAAATTATAATTTGAAACTCACTTTAATTAGTAATGAAAAAATGGAACAGTCTAATATTTCGGATACAGAAGAATAAAAGATGATATCATTATAAGTTGAAATAAAAGTATTTGTCTTTTAAATACCTGATCTGATATATAAAAAAAAGTACCTAAATCATTTTTTTTTTCTACACATATTATTTCCTCAACATTAAACCACAATTGTAAATAGGTACAAAATTAATAAACTCGACGGAAAGTCAATCTTTTTCTGATAATAAGCATTTAAGAAAAGATTGAGAACTTAGTTATTATGGAGGCTCTAAATTATTTTCATCGTGTTATTTTGTATTGATATTTAGATTGGTTTAATTTTTTTTTTACATAATTATTCAGCCACAAATCAATTTTTTTTTTTATTACTTACATTTAAAAATAAGTAACCTTAATTAAACTCTGTAAATGGCACTTATGGTATTTTAAATAAATATAAATAAGAATCTGATTCATAGGTTAGAGATCTTTAAACTACTCAAAATTTTCTTACAATAATTTTTTAAAAAATGTATGTACAGTTATATAACAATATATACAATTTTATTTTGATTTTTAGGGAAGCCATGAGAAATTATGAGGAGTTCAAAGATTTCTAGCCCCTCCTTAATTTGCGCCTATGATCTATTCCACTGATTGATTCCATTAAAAAATTTCATATAAAAACATTAAAATGATGATTTTATTACATATAATTTTTTAGAAGTTTTGGAATTGTACTTTTTGTAATTTTATATTAAAATATAATTTTAAATTACAAATTGATAATCAAAATAGTTTTATACTCAAATAAACTTAATAAACTAAAACAAACTAAATTGTGAAATAATGATTATTCTAATATCTTTAACTAAAAATCAATTTCTTAAAAGAAAAAAATAATATAAAATAATACAATAAAAAAACATTGATAATTCTTTTAATAAACAAGCCCTGAGAAAAGAAATCAATTCTAATATACGGAGATATTTTAGAAAATTTTACCAAATATTTTGTATTCTACAAACGTGGTCTAAGGATTTACTAACAACTGCCAAACTAAAACTAAAAAACAATGAAACCACAATTCCATTACTTGTAAATATACAAATGTGATTCGGAGATAAATGATTCTTATAAACGCGATTTTACTTTCTATTAGTAAAATATAATGTACAAAAATGTAATGATAAATGATGTGCAAAAAAAGGGAAAAAATTGAATAATGAATAATGAAAGGTGAATACAATCAACTGCTATCATCAACATTTAACCTTACGAGTTTAGATGTATAATGTTTCTTAGTTTCCAAAAATTTTGATGCTAATAATATTAATCCTATTATTATCGCGTCGTAAATTACTATAGTAATAACACCTATACAATTTTACTTGTTTATTTAATATGACAACAACTAACACTTTGTTTGACCGATTACCGACCCGATAATTTAGGAATAAAATGTAATGTTTATACGCCTACAATCCACAATTCAATCGGTTTTCATTTTTTTAACGGAAAGAGAGAAATGTTTATTCCGCAAGAATTGTTAACTTTCTTGTATTTCTTTAGGCTTTCTTACATATTATGTACATTTTTCTAATAAACCAGATGGATGAACCCCCTTGGGCTGGATATCTTAAATATATATTATAAAACTAGTATAAAAATTATGCAACACCATTATTAATAATAGCATAACTATCACAATCTCAATTAAATACACTGTTGCATTGTAATATGAGTATGACTATTAGAATATTGTTGGCTTTAAATGATAAAGAATAAACTGAGAAATTATAATGCAATTAATGATAGACAAAAGATGCGTACGAAATTAAATTACTTGTATTCAGCTTAATAGTAGTAGAATTTGCTTTATATTCTGTTATAATGTTTCAAATAACACTTCACAGACCATTAATGTAGATTAATTACTCTGAATATTGTCATGTACAAAATCTGTGCCGAGATATAATATTTTTCATAGAGGTCTGAGTTATGTTTTGATTACTTTGAATAATAAAATATATTCTTGACGCTTTGTAGACCCACTTCGTTTTTTTATTCAAATGACAGCGACGTTATGCTAAATTATACAGATTGCGATCTTCTTTTCAATCATTTATTATAATCAAAGCCTAAAGACTTGAAAAATGCGTTTAAACATTAATAGTTTCAAAATGTTGTTGTTGACAAGGAACTTCGTAATCGTTACAAATTATATTAGCAACAACTTGACTACTTATCATAGTGTCATCTATATTTCATAATAGAGCTTTATAAGCCCATTGTATAACAATAAAGTCTATTATAATCAATATAATTAATAATGAATTTACTTTTTTAGGACGAGTGAACTCTTGGCACTCATGGCCATTTCTTCAACTTTGTTTTTATTCTTACACACCAGGGAACTTCACACAAGACTTAGAACACTGCAATCGGTTTCCAATTCGGCCTCGTCTTCAGGTATGATAAGAAAACTATAATACATTAAAATCGACATCTTAATAACGTATCCGAATACATTTATATCATTAAAAAATATTCAACGTCAAAGAATAAAAAAAATATAGAATATATTTTTGGTCAATTATAATCTTGTAGAAAGTACAAAAATAAGTAATGTTCAAAAGTAATTAAAATAACAAAATAATAATAATAATACTAATTTATTGTGAATTTAATTAGTATAAATTTAATAAAAATAACAAATTACACGATAAAATAAGTTTTAATTCAATTAAAAGTTTTCCAATAAATACAGTTATCTACACCCAAAAAAAAACCTCAATCAAAATTGAAAGAGAAATTTTATCAAGGGTTTATGATAATGTTTTATTAATACGAACAAAATAACTATTCTTATAAATAATTATTGTTCAAGACAAGAAAAAAAAATATCATATTGATAAATATATCATTGATTCAATAGTAATGATATATTTATCAAATTGAACAATGAATTTATTATATAGATCGAGATTTTTCTCTGGGTGTACCTGCTTACAAGTTTATAAAAATTTAAACAATAGTGTTATCGTAAGGTGAAGTTTTTTTTGTAGATTTACCTTGTACAATAATCACTAGAATTAGTTCCTAACTGTAAATTTTAAGTTCATGTAAAAATATGTTTCGAAGTGCGATCTAATATGAGACTTATTGTCTGATATCAGTTACGCTGATTGTTTACTGACACAAACACGATCGCAAAACTTTCTTAGAATACATTTAAATTTTAAAAAGGTTTACCTCTAATGAGTTAAATGATCGTGTCAACAGAAAAATATGAAAAAACTTTTCTATAAATCTCGAAATATTTTTAAGTGCAGATTCTTACTTTTTCTTTTTGAACACAACACGCCTAAATTATATCTTTCTTTTTTTACTCTTGACGTATACACTTAATCAATGTTTATTACCTGCATGCCAAAAACGGTATTTTCTTAAATAAGAATTGTTCTCGTCTAAATGTTAAGCCATAACAGTTGTTTGAAAACATAATGTTAACTTAATTAATATTTTAACGATCATGGCCAGTTATGTTTTAAACGGTACACGTACGCACCAATGATCAGTACACATAATCTATACATAGATACTTGATTGCGGCATCTTAATAATTATTTCAGACTAGTCAATGAAAATTAAGACACCAATATATTTTTTTTAAACTCCCACGCGTGATCAATTCGGAATGGTTTTAGCGGTTCGATTAAAACAACTTTCATGTTATCCGGTCAGACTTTATCACTCATCATGTGCATGCGACCAAGACTAAGGCCATTATAGCTTTACTCTATTAAGTAAATCAATTTTTATATCATTTCTCGTATATACGGATGTAATCTAAATGACTTTCGTCCTGTTTCACTCAAAGAATGGGATCTAAGAAATAAGGACGCGATGTTGACCAATTCCGCACGATTTTTTACTTGATGTACTGGCCGACAAGCATTAAGCAACTCGTTCACGTACCGACGACCTGACAAAAGATGACCGTTTTTGTTTCGCCGCCACTGCACTGGACCACAGTCTGTGTCATAATGATCGCGTTGTTTTAACACACAAGACTAACGCAACAAATAAATAAATACATTTAAAATGTTCATTTTAAGACGCGCGAAACTGGCATTAAACCCATGACCTAGATTTAAACGAGACACGACCATTTTCATTATTAAAAAATTAAAAATTTTTTTTTTACTCTGCCCATTTAAAATCTGAAATTAAAAATAAAATACAAATCATCCGTACGCGCTATACTTTCTCCTTGCCGTCGTCAAAAATAAGTGATTTAATAATATGAAAATTATAAAATACTTTTAATACATAGTAACCAACTCGGATGAAATATTTTACGATGTTGGTTTATGTGCTTGTTTATTTTCCACAGTGATATATACATGAATGGTTTTAATAGCTAGTTGTAACATTTATTTGCATAAGAATATACTAAAGCATCTTCTATTCTAATAACAAGCCCGCCGCTGATTTTACCCAAACAACATTGTGACGACCAGTTTCCTAAGAAAAAAATATTCACACTACCTTGACTCATTATTTTTCTTTAAAATTAAATGACAGTTTAGCTAATACGGCTTAATTTTCATGTTGTAGACTTTTGTTTAATTTACAGTTACTTACTGATTTTTAAATACTGGGGAGTATATAGTTTTTATATTTTTGGAAAATCTTTTGTATTCTGTTAAAATGATTAATTTAGAAGCTTAACTATTCTTAGCTGAATCTAATTCTTAAAATTTATTCAAAATTATTTTTTCTATAAATCACCTTAACAAATAATCTAATTAAAGTCCATGCATAATTTTTGATTTAACGATAAACAAAATGTTGTAACAATCTTACCAACTCGTTGTAATAAATACCCATCAAGAAAACATCTAATATATCCTTTAAAAATTGATTTTATTTCAAAAAACTTTTCATTTATAATTTTAAAAGTAAACGTATTGTTAAATATATTCACAATAATAATAATTATATTAAATTAAAACAATTTTATGAATACCTACACAATGTTCGCATAAAAACCACGATAATTAAATTGATAATTGCAAAATTAATGTTCTAGATTTTAAAATTAGGGTGATCTACACAAGTTAAGGGGTCCAGTGCAATAACCGGCTATAATCACTTTTTGACATTTTTTGGAGAATAAATTATTTTAGTACTAAACTATACTAGTATTAGGTATCTTTAGTTTACAATATTAAGTTCTTCTAGCAGAAAGATGTACCTATTGATTACACCAAACGGTTGAAAAAATTATTATCAAAAGAAAAAAAAGCGAATTTCGAAAAAAACTGGAAATATCCGGTTACTGCAATGGACTCTTCAATTTAATTATTATTTATAATAAAAGTATAATGATCATAAACTTAAATAACATCATAAAAATATAAACAAACATCTTCAAATTTTTACTAAATTTACCGATTAGGGCTTAAATGGACAAAATAATAGACTCTTTAAATCAAATTCCATGAAACCCTCATTATTTTTTCCTAGTATCTGACTCGATTAGAACCAGACATTGATGTCTACTTCTAAAAATAGATTCTCGTAGACAGATGGACTATAATTTTCATTGCATACTACTTATTAAGTAGTACTTACTGTGTTTATTACGGTCAATGAGCAGTATAAAAGTCAAAGTGAAAAAATTGGACACAAACTGAGAGACGTTTGAATAATTTAATAAGAAAGAACAATAATGATTGGCAACAAAATAATGCCTTTCGCTATCATTTAATTCATTGTAAATAATTGGACACATTATGTTGTCGGAACAATATTAATAGATACTCCAGTGATTATCCAACATAAATAAATACTATAGATATAATTTTTGACATTCAAAAGAACTGTTCGTGTTTTCTATTACAATCGCTTCAGAAGACTCGTCAATACTTTTAATATTACCGAGTCACGATTATCTATAAGGGACACGCGCTGCGAATAATAATTGAACTATTCTACACTACTACTGAACCCAACTCGTAGAATAGTCTTTTTCTCTATTTAAATTATTGTGTGACACTTGCTAAACATTATTGACGAAAGTAAATTCACACTGCCTAAATATATGACGTTTTGCGGAAGTTATAAATTGCACCGAAAATACTTTTTAAACAATTAAAAGAGAATTCTGGAATTGTTCGATCGCTCTATGACTTCCTTTTTGGTAAATAATGTGGGTGAAGAGACGATTATACTATTTATTCGGTTTTTTTACATCTTTCCAGAAGTACGCTTTGTGAAAGCAGTTGTGATCACGTTATCCGCCACTGCCAAGTATAATTGGAAAACGAAAATTTATATATATATATAAATACTCATCTCATCTATTCTTATTAGGAACGGTCGTACTTAACTCTGAGTCGGTCACGCGAATCTTATCGGAAAAAGACCGAATAACAGAATAATAATAATTTTTTGACAAAAACCATTGATCTCGAGTGAAAGTGGATGGACCTTGTCAATGACCCTATCACCTTCGACACTGCGCGGGTTCCTAACTTTGCCCCGAGTCCAGTTATCTGCTTGGTGCACTTCATGATATGTATGCTTTTGGATATTAGTATTAAAAATGTACATTTACGGTTGATTGGCGGTGTAGCACATCAAACTTCTGATGTCCCATAACGGATTCCGATCCATAGTGATATATATATATATACTCACCGTTCACGTTTAATTAACTCCGACGTTTGTTTTTTTCCACCATCATTTCGGAAATTGTTTTACTAGTGCGTCCAATTGTTCTCTCTGCTGGTATCCGAGAAAATTTCTCCTGAAACAAAACTAAACTACGGCGAACAATGCTTCAGTGTAATTACCCATGTATAGCGTCGAAGCTCATTTGCATTAATATCGCTGCGTAAGAAGAAAATAGTGTTTCCGTACTGCACATACACTTGTATCCGATTGCATTTATACGCTCGAATGCCCAATATGTAATATAATAATCCACCGTAGTTCTCGTTCTGCTACTAATCGATGCATAATAAAAATATCTTCCTATAATATGACAACATTGTTATGTTTAGCAGATTTTAGATTATACTATATTGTAATACGCGTATACCGTTAAAATCTTATTTAACATCAGCTACCCACTGCTATTACTAACGATGCATAAAACACTACTAGCAAGTACCTTTAGTGCCATCAATCCGATAGCACAACTTATGCGATTTTCTTTTAAAGTGACATTTATTTTTACATTCATGTACAATATACCGGTTCATAATTAGATACTGAAAATCAATCACACATTTCCATAGCGTCTCATGTGACCAACTACCATGTGAAAATTTAACTGGTCTTTCACAATTGCGTTAAACAATTCGCATGCAATAATTTCTACCAGATTCACTAGGTGAAAAATACACACGAAAGTTAAACTGGAAATCCTACATGAATAATTACAAATTAAAAACGCGATAAATTTAACCCATAATAGCGCGAGTCTTAGAATACACTTTCGACCCAAAGATCATATCACTTTTTAAAAGAGCTTTAATTTGTACGTTACCACAACTTTTACCGTACGACTTGTTGGTCGCTTGCAATATTTCTAGTTCATCGAGCCTTCTCATTTGTACATTTATGTTTGTTTAGAAAAAAATACGTTTGAAACGAGTCTCAAAGAAATATAATATGCGGTATTTAATAACTCGTATCATCTTGAATCTTTATGGTAATGCTATTCTAGTTCGTCAGATTTCTGGGTGACACTCATTCACTTAATATGTACGTTAAACTTAGCAAAAACGCCAGAACATCTTTAAAAAATACCAACATTAAAATTATTAAACACACTCACCGACCGTATAATTGTAAAATTTAATCGTAGAGCGTGCAGAAGGAAAGCGAATGCGTAATTCCAAATTATCTAAATAAAGTAATTAATTTTAAAACGAATATATATGTATTAATTAGCTTAATCAAAACATTAAAAAATCTAAAAGTAGATAAAATAACCTAGTAAATTAGTAAAGCAATAGTAGTAGATGTTATTAAATTTGTTAAATAAAAACATGTGGAAATACTAAGGTTTAAGCACATTTGAGCGTTTATTATGTGATAGCTAATTGTTTTTTTTATTTTTTCTATAAGCTCTTAAAGGGGATATTGGAATTCAACCAAAAGCTAGACGAACACGTTAAAACAACAATACAAGAATTGAACTCGATGTATTTTGCCGAGTCTAGACAATAGTCGTTGCGAAATTATTGCGATAATTAAAATAAAATGATTATACACTCTTCATGAACACGTAGTTTACATTTGAAAGTGAATTAACGTTTTTTCTATCTTTGCTCATCGTTTGTTTTACTCAAATTGAATCAAGTCCCGTGCGCCATAGAGGTTCTTACACCTCTATGACTACCACACGAAAGCAAGTGGTGTGTACTCAGAATTTGACGTCAAGATTATAACCACTGAGACTATTATGCTGTCAAGTCTGACAATACACGGTCTAGACGGTGTACAAGTACAAGCATTTGCCTGTGCACGGTAATGAACAGAGGAGAACTTAATAATATTAGCATAAGGTTGAATTACGCAATTTGTCGGTTTACGGATCTGTTCGAAATCAGATTAGATGAAACTACAATTTATCATTATAATACGCGCAAGCGGATACAATGGAGTCAAAGTTGCTTCTAAATATTTCACAAACAGAACCTCTAGCGCATTGATTTCAGCTTTGTTCTTGTAAAATGACAGATATAAAATGTTGAAATTTCACAATCGAGTGTCTTTACTGGTCAAGAATTATGTAGCGTACTATAATATCGTTATTGTTTCTGCTGAGTATGATGTAATTATTTTAGCACATATTAATACGGTAAATGCAAGAATTGAATGAGTACACGCTTAGTTCATTCCACTTGGTTTTATACGGAAAACTATACCCGTTTGATCAAAAGTACGCCATTTTAGTAAATCTATTAATAGGCTGTGATTTCACCGTTTACAAACAAACGCATGCAAATTAACACAACAGCTGTACACCGCGACCGGTTCTCTACAGTAACACACAAGCTGTACAATACAGTGCACACGTTAATGTAAATTTTATTATAAAAGTCGTTGGCATCATTTCGATACACATCGATGTCGATTGTTCGTTTGTGTATTCAATGGGTCACTATTTATTTTTTAAGTGTGTTCACTAGAAAAATCAAATGAAAAATCAATTCGACGTGTTTAGAAATAATGATTTTACGTATGTATCTACACACGTAAACAAGCATTTATTAATCAGTTCCTGATTTGAATTTTACCCAACCAGATATACAAATTTTTAAGAAAAAATTAACACAGAATCATTGTATTTTTAATTTTAAGTAGACGAGTAAAGCTCTTATCTTATCTTTTGGGAAAGATATAAGAATCATCTCATACCTTTCCTGAAATATGAATAGTTATAAGTAATGCAACCATATTATAATTAGTAAATATGTTTTTTTATTGCGACACAATTATTACAACGTTATTTAAATTATATAATCGTTAATTAATTATAATTGATTCAACATAAAACGTTATAACACTTCTTTTTATAATTAACTGTATTCACGATATAAATGTTCTACAAAATAAAACCAAATAATAATGATGGTACCACAAATGTATTTAGATTTTCAATTTAAAAAGAAAGGATAATATCCTTATATAGAATATATTATATTCTATGAACAATTTTAATTTTTTTTGTATAGTTTTTTTTTTTTGTTATGTTAATACAAATCATCAGTATTTTATTCATTTATTTTTACTACTATTTAATTTATTAAAAAATATGAACATAACTTTAATAAATGACATTAAGATAGAAAATGCGTCAATGTAAATTATCTCATATCTTAATAAATTATATTTATATTCTATCAGTGAACTTACAGATTCTCATGACCTCACATTTCTAATAGATTTTGAATAGAAATTTTCAAAATATTCCATTTGTACCTGAACAATAGATGCTCTTATAATAATAATCTGAATTCACATTTCTTGCGTGAGTACGTTTACAAAAAACTGAATTCAATTGTTAGCTTCCTATTAATAAAAATAAAAAAGATGCGAGAATAATAAATAACTACAACGAATTGCACATTAAAAAGTTATGCGAAGATAAGCACTCATTAGTTATTATTTGCGAGTTGAATATAACTATTTTATTTTTTGTACAAAACCATTCGTTAGATTTTGTGAAATTTTACATTCATTATGTAAAGTAATATAATCATTTGTGCTGATGAAAAACTCAGGATGTAGGCCACGAGTAAAAAAACATTTCAATTGCTTTTACTTTTTAATTGAAAATAAATTATTATTTACCTAATTGTTCACATTAAAAACGATTACTGTTAAAAACTCTTGGATCACAAATTTTATTTGAATTGGCCGTAATAAAATATTTAATCATATTTTTTTTTCGATTTAATATATACTGAATTGTACCAATAAGAAAGTTCCCGGGTAATTTTAGAATTCATTATTATTACATTACATAATAATTCTCGAGCAAATCAACTTTTCAAATTTCATGTCATTTTGAATCTCGTTATTATTTGGTTAATTTTGCCTACCTTATATTAAACACGTCCTAATTTATTTTGTTGACAAAAAAGAAAATCAGTCTATGGTACTGCTTAGTACGTATGGGTTGCAACATAAAAATAATTGTTATTATTTTAGACAAATTACTAAAAAAAAGTTTGATCATAGAATATTTTAACTAAAGATCATAAAAAAGTTTATAAAAATAAAAACTCTCCCTAATATTTTACAATTTATTTTAGTAAATACCAAAAACATGTTAGTATTTAACACAAAACCTACAGTAAACCAGTCTTTTCAAATGTATTGAGATTTAGATTCAGACTTTTTTTTATCAGTTCATATAATAAAACAAACTAAACAAATAATAAAAGATTGTAGTAAAAAAATGTTTTATTAAAAAATATATAATTAATAGGAAAATTTATGCTTACCAATATGATCATGAAATGTCAAAAAACTAATTATGCAGTATTTGAAAAAACAATTTTCATAAATCTTGCAGAATATGCTCTCTATAAAAAATAAATTATCATAAAAAATCTATGCAAATAAACATGTATTTTCTTCTTCTTCCTCGCCTTAATCCCAACTACTTGGGGTCGGCCAAAATAAACATGTATAAAATAATAATTATAAATGTAAAATTAAACCATACAAATTATATTTAGTTAATACATTCATAAGTATTGTTAATATTGTGTTATATGAAACTTTTGTATACAATTCACTTAATTAAAAACATATTGTATACCATTTACTACAAAAATATACATGGAAAAATTTAATTGAAGAATCTAGACTAGTATGAATGCCACGACCTTCCTCAGTTTTTTCTTTTCTAAAAATAAAAATCGTAATATATGTTTTAATTTCTGTTATAAATATTGCAAACATATTAATATCACGTTAAAAGATTTAATTAAAGTTACAATTAATTAAAGGTATATAAAATTGGCGATAGTCAATTTACATTGATTTTGTAATTTGTTTTTATTTAGTGACCGACTATGTGGAAAAACACAATGATTTAAACGATGCAATAGTTTTTTTAAGTAGTACGTGAACCATCGTAATGGAACATTGCAAACAACATATTATATATTTTGTAAAATTAAATGTGAAATACGACCAAAAAGTAATATGCAATTGTTAGACGACAAAAAAAAAATAACGATTTGTTATTGTAATTGCATTGATATGTGGCTTCATTCCATTTGGTTTTTATAAGCACTTTGATATGCTCGGCGACACTGTATATTTTACGGTTTCTTAAGAATTATATAGTGTATACTTTAATTGTAAAATTCCTATGATAGTAACGGAACGCTGAAATGAACTTATTATCGGTGTGACATCGAAATTCATGTATTTTTTTCAATTGTTTGGCTAAACGCAACTTATTGAAAAACATAAATTTGTTGTTGTAATTCGTAATAAATTGTTTAGTATAATTTACCATTAGAATTAATTAATTTTATTTTTTTAGGGAATTCAGCGTCTGGCTTAGAAATTGATGTTGAAAACTTCATACACGACGAAGTAAGATTTTATCAATAATCTTGACAAACAATGAAACAATATATCGATGATGCTCAGAAAAGACATCTAAAACAAAAAAAAAAAAAAACCATCACAGTGGGGACGTGGCATAGTTGAGTCGAGTATAGATTTAATCTAACAGTGATTAAAATCACTATCATAAGAAACGCATCGATGCAAATCTGTAGATAGTGTTTAGTTTTAAAAAATTTGTGGATAATTACAAAAGCAACATCAACTATTTCCTTAATTATATCCAGACTAGTAATTCTTAGATTCAAAAATAAAATATAAAATTATATACTATATAATTGTTATATTGAATCGTTTTCAAATTATCATTGATATTGATTTTTAATATGTTAAAAGTAATAATTTTTAACCTTCTTTATTTCGTCCTTTAAAGTTTATAATAAATAAAAAAAAAATGAATTAATAGGGGAGACTATAGTGATGGGATTCTTGATATTTATTGAAGTTATTGAATCTAAATGAGATAAAAATCAAATGATTTGAAAATTTTTTTCTAACTCAAAAAAAATTCAAAATACTAATTGACACGGGTGGATTCGAACCTCGTACCCTAATCGTGAAAAACACAAGTGTTACCGATTCGGCAACTGTTCGTTGCTCTTATCTCATGATAAAATTAGCAATTTAAGCTAATTAAAATTTAAAAATTACTTTTTGACTTTAAAAAAGTAAACAAATTTTAATAAGTTTAATTTCTTATGTCTTATGAACTTTATTCTATGTTAATTAAATTAAACTCAGAATTTTAACACAAAAATAGCATATTTTTGAATACGGTAGCCATTTTTACCAAGAATAAAATGTATATTTCGAATTTTTTTTTTTTTTTTTTTAGTAAAGTATATAATATAAGCTTTAATTTAAGATTAAATAAAACTGTGAATATTTCCGGAAAATTTCAGAAGTTAAGTTGAAAAAGTAAGTTTTTGTAAAAAAGTTGCTATTTTAAATACCCCCCTGTTAGTAAAATAAGTGTTAGATTTTCAAAAAATATTATATCAAATGAAAGGAAATTACCTAAGATTTCAATATAAAAAAATATTATTTTGTTTTTGTTAAAATCAAGATAGGAGCTGTTTTTTTTTGCAAATATTATATTTTTTGTTTAATTTCGTTGGCAATTTACTCATAGACGATAAAGTGTCGGGACAATTTTTTTTTTTCATTTCGTAGTACATGACATAACCTTTGAGTATATAGAGTACAAGTTTGACAAAGGAGAACACAAGGTAGATGAAATGAGGAGGTCAGTGACAATAGGCGGGGACGTTTTTGGAGAGGTGGAGAGTTTTAAGTATTTAGGGTAAGTTGTGCAAAAGAGTGGTGGTATTGACGAGAATGTAAGACACAGGATTAAGTGCGGGTGGTTGAAGTGGAGAGAAGCGTCTGGCGTCTTATGCAATAAAAGAATTCCAATGAGGCTGAAAGGTAAATTCTACAAGACTGTAATAAGGCCAGCAATGATGTATGGTTCAGAGAGTTGGGCGGTTGATAAGAAAGTAGAGCAGAGAATGAGTGTAGCAGAGATGAGAATGCTTAAATGGATGAGTGGAGTGACTAGAAAAGATAGAATAAGGAACGAGCATATAAGAGGGAGTATAGGTGTAGCGTCAATCGTTGATAAGATGAGAGAAAATAGACTTAGATGGTTTGGTCATATTATGAGGAGAGAAGAATCGGAAGCTGTAAGAACAGTTATAGAAATGAATGATGAAGGAAGAAGAGGTAGAGGATGACCAACAAACAGATGGAGGGATATTATTGAATGCGATTTGAGGACAGCTGATTTGAGTGTAAATGATGTGGGAGATCGTGTCAAGTGGAAGTTTAGGATAAGGGTGGCCGAACCCAAGTAGTTGGGATTAAGGCGAGGAAGAAAAAGAAGAAGAGTACATGATATAACCTTTGATTTGATATATGTTTAAAGAACACAGTATTTCCGGAACATTTTCAAAAGTTAAGTTGAAAAGTTACTTTTTGTAAAAAAGTTACTATTTTAAATCCCCCGCTGTGAGCAGGTTAAGTGTTATATTTCAAAAAAATGATATTAAATAAAAGAAAAATATCTAAGGTTTTGATATAAAAAAAAAATTATGTTGATTTGTTGAAAAAGTTATGGAAGTTTTAAGAAAAAAAAGTGAAAAAAATGACAAAATTAACCGATTTTAAAAATTGTAATTTTTTTAAAGATTTCCCCCATGTGCGGGAACGAGAGAAAATTTTTCAATTTTTAAGGGTAATGTCTTCAACTAGATACGATTTGTGATCTTTTGACGTATTGTTGAAAGAAATCGGTCCAGTGAGAGCTGAGAAAAAGTGGCAACATACACAAAAAAAAATACATCATGGTAAAATTAATACCTTCTCAGCTTCGCATCGAAGCTCCTCGAAATCACCTCTTTAATTAAACAACATATTATGGAAACACATTTTATTATCTTAAATTTTATTAAAATAATTTTTATTTAAAATATTATTTTAAGTAAAAATTATTTTATTAGAATGTCTTAAATTTTTATTCATCATTTATGAATAATAATATATATATATAAACTATTCAATTATGAAAAATATTAGGAATATCTACAGGAAAAAATAAAATAGGCCTCTCTTATGTATTTTTCTGGAAAAAAATAATTTTTTATTTTTATGAATCTAATTTAAATTACTGTTTAGTAGGAATAGTAATAGAAGTAGAAATAGTATATTATTTCTGTATCAAAAGATTGAATATGTCTTATATTTCTTTCAAAAATTTGTTTTGACAATCTGTAAATAATAAATCATGATTTAATTGTAAAAGTTACTTCTTTTAATTAACTAAAATGACCATAAAAAAATTCGCTAACATCTAAAAAAAGTCAGTTATTGCTATAACTTAATACACTTTTATTAAAAAATAGATGTAAAAATGTCTTTTCAAATAACGCCCGAATATGTTTTGATTGAAATCAATACATAATCGAAGATTCGCTAGGTTGAATAAACTTATCTGATCTTTGTTGATGAAATAAATGAGTGTTCTATTGTAAATTCTTAATATAATAGCTGTAATTCTTTATTAATTGAATAAAAAATTTAATTTAATTTAATTTAAATGAAAATGACAGATGTAAATTATAGACGCAATTAAAATAACATTTTTGTGGATGTTGATTGTATTTTCTCTCCACTTTAAAAAATATTTCAAATAATAACATAAATAATTTCCCTTTTTTCTTTATATGAACCTATAGTATAATGTACTGTGTTGAAATTCCATAATGGTAGCGAAACTATTGCTCTACTGATATCACAAACTANTAATGTACTGTGTTGAAATTCCATAATGGTAGCGAAACTATTGCTCTACTGATATCACAAACTAAATTCACTGACTCCACAAATCTATTCATATATTTACACTGTCACTAAAATATTAATACAAAATTAGTTAGCAAGTTTAATTTAAAACAATTAATTTTTACGAATACTCACACTATACATTTTTTTAAAGTTAATAGTAATCAGTTTTTTTTTTTTTATTAACGTAAAAACATTTTTGGAAGATGTTCCATAGCTTATTAAACAACATTGTACTCAAGAGTGCCAGAAATAGGGTAGGAAAAATGGGATATTTGTCAAAGACACGCCCTTATTTTGGTTTTAATAGTGTCCCGTTGTTATTAATACTATTATTATTTTAATATTAATATTATTACTATTATTTTGTTTAGAAGTTGGAAGTAGATTTGCTAAATAACACTGGACGTGCCAAAAAGGAACTGATATTTTTTAATCGAGTCCCTAAAGTAGGAAGTCAGACGTTTATGGAAATATTGAGACTTTTGTCTTTGAGAAATAATTTTGTTTTCTATCAAGACCAAGTACAAAGAGTTGAAACAATTCGTTTAGCCGAATCTGAACAGGTAAAATGCTTAATGATGAAACAATAACTTTATTATCAAAGAATAATTCATAATGATGTGTTAATGATATCGACAACCAAAGACATCATTTATTAAACTGGAACACGACATTGTTTTTATTTCAACATACATACAAAACTAATTAGGTTTTAATTAATTTTTGCAATCTCAATTTTACCGGTCAAAAAATTAAAGAGTCCAACATAAACTAAGAGATTGTCTTTTCTTCTATATTTATGAAAGTAATCTGTATGTTTAATTTTTTTCTATACATCAACCACGTATAAATATTTTTTTTTTTAAACGAAAACATTTTTTAGCATCTAAAATACATTTATAACTTCCATTTGCATTCAAAAAAACCTATATGAATGATCTAAAATAAATTTACAAATAGATCAACAAATATGTATTTGAAATCTATTTATTGATTTCAAGTATGCAATAGATTTTCACGTTTTGTAAGTTGTGAGCTACGTACTAAAACTGTTGTTTATAAGTAGACTGTTCTGTATACAGAAAAGCCTATTTTAACAGTATTTTTTGTACTTAAAATGTATAAAAAATACTTGAAAATTCAATAAATTAAATTGAACAATTTCGTAGAATAAATAATACAACTGAAATTAAACGTATGTATCTTAGTAGATGGAATGTCAAATATTCATAATAATCAAATTTTCTTCAAATTCGTAATTAATGATTGACTATCGTAATAACATATATTTTAAGGTTACACAGTTAATGATAAAAATATTTTCATGCATTATCGAGGGTTAGTAAATTTTTATTACTCAATTTTTAATGTTTTCATTAATAATAATACGCTAATATAAAAAAAATATCCATTGCAAATGAGGAAAATTTTAATAAATGTAAATTGAAATTGAAGTTTGATACTTGACTTGACTTTTTGATAAGTTCGGAATTTTCAATATAAAATGCAATTGTGTTTAGAAATAAAAAATTGTTGCTGATTTGTAAACCGGATATATTTATGAATTATGAAGATTGGATAACGATGAAGTGAAATAAATACATTATGTACAGTTATTAATAAAGCCACTGCAAGAGTGGTTCATCTTATGAGTTTTACAGCTATATAGAAATATGACCAAGTCACGATATACAGCATACATTTATTAATTTATAGTAAAACCTGTATACCACAAAACCAGAAAAAACTATTACAAAAATGTTTTTTAATAGTTTGTAATACAACTTTATATTATTACTATTTTATACAAAGGCCTGATATTTATTAAGTAAGCTTTAGATATAGATAAAATTTTTGCAATTATTTATCTAAAAAATTTTAACTTAAAATAGAAAGTCGTGTAATAGATAACAAGGATAAGCTACAAACACAATCTTAAAATTTTTATTTTATAATCCTATTCGGATTTTATCTATCCGAAAGTAAAAACTAGAATTACTTTAAAATAAAAAACAATTTTATTAAACACTAATTTTATTTAAATTGCATTGTTCAAATAAATAAGACGGGCTATTTGATTTACACCTTTGGCATTTACTATATTCTTTCTTCACTTATTTATTTTTATAGTTGTCAATAATTTACTTTGCATAGCTATCCTTTTTAAATTTACAGTTAAGTGCATTGCAAATAATTAATTTTTTTAAGCATAATCGAATAATGTTTATTGTATACATTTGGTATGAATTAAGTTAGTATCCATAAACAGTTATAAGGAGTATCTATGGTAGTAAATAATTTTAGTTTCATAGTTCTTTGAATAAGGCCAACCCCAAGTAGTTGGGATTAAGTCGAAGAAGATGAAGAAGAATATTTCTTTGAAAAAAATGTAAAATAAACTTAACATATGAATATCATATTATTATACAATTATGAATACTGATGTATATCTGTGTAAAACTATAATTATGATTAAATATGGAATTAATATTCATGAGTTCACTATAGTTAATAAAAGTTATAGCATTTTAAAGTAAAAAACCCAGCACAGGGGGGTCAAGGTACAGTGGTGATGTGGCATAGTTGGATCAAGTATAATGATTTCTGACAGTGATTAAAATCACTATCATAAAAAACGCTTTGATGCACATCTTTAGATAGTGTTTAATTTTAAAAAATTGGTGGATTATTCCAAGAGCTACATGATCTACTATTTCCTTATTAATATCCTGATTAAGATAAAGTATGTCGAATGAAAAAGGGATTATTAAATAATATTATTTCTCATAAAAAATTGTGTTGATCCATACACTTTTCAATAAGTTATAGCATTATTAAGTTAAAAATGTAAAAAATAAAATCCAGAATTTTCACACAAAAATAGCATTTGGTAGCTATTTTCACCTTGAAGATAAAATAAAGTCCGAAATTTTTTTTTTCCATGATAAAGTATACTATATTAGCTTTAATTTAAGATATATATAAAAGTGTCAGACTTTCCGGAACACTTTCAAAATTTAAGTTGAAAAAGTTAATTTTTTGTGAAAAAGTTGTCATTTTGAATCCCCCCCTGTAGGCAGGTAAAAAGTCAGATTTATAAAAAAAATATACCAAATGATAGGTAAAGACATCATGCATCTACAAAAAAAAATTATATTGATTTGTTCATTTTTGAAGAAATTATGGCAGTTTTAAGTAAAAAAAATTGAAAAAATTTCGAAAATTAGCGATTTTTAAATTTATAATTTTTTTGGTAGTTTTCCCCATTTACGAGAAACAAGGGAAATTTGTTCAATTTTTAAGTATAATGTCTTCGACTAGATACGATTTGTGATCTTTTGACGTATCGTTGAAAGAAATCAGTTCGGTGAGAGCTGATAACAGCCAAAAAAAAAAAAAAACACATCATAGTAAAACCAATACCTTCTCAGCTTCGCATCGAAGCTAAAAACTTTAGGAAGAAAAGAGAGGACAAAAATTACAAATAAAAATCGTAGAATAATACAGTTAGAGAGCATATTAGAAGGTTCTAAATGTTTTTAAGTTATAAATAAACATTCCTATTTTTTTACTAATTTTGTGATGAATCCTAAGAAAATAGACCAACTATGTCATTCACAAAAGTTTTAGCAGTTCCAAAATTTTAACTGAATGCGCTCAAATGATTTTTCTCGATATTTTAAAATAGTATAGACATTTTTTTTATATAATACATTATTTTATTAATAATATTATGTAAATTTTTATGATAATAACCGTATCTATAGCGTTCTAAATACTTTTTACTGGAATATTTAAAAGTTACATGGACATGGGGTGATCGACCTGTCACATTTTCTATATATAATAGCCAATGGCTCTGTAAAGTAAGTTTATGCAATTAATTACAACACTACAAAATATTGCTTACGCCCTACAAGAGCGTAAGCAATATTTTCGTCTTATTTGCCTAATTGAAAAAAAAACACGTGATTTTTAAATTAGTTAACTGAGAAAGTACTTGATCAGAAACTGATCAAGTGTTATACAATACAAATAAAGTGGCTGCTCATAAAAATAGTAATGAAATTTATAATTCTAAAAAAAGAGCAAACTTGGGAACAATGTCGATGTCATTACTTTGATAGGTGGGCTTTTTTGAGGTCAGGAGATTGGAACTTTTGGTCCCTTTTCACAGTTAGTTTTATATTGGGAATATAATTATTTTTTATTAACAACAGCTAAAAATATCTATTTTTTATGAGCTTCTAAAAAAACAAACGAATGAATGTCTGTTCTGACGCTCCTGCTTGTAAAACCGTCGATTATGAAAAAAATAAAAATAACAATTTTTAGGTTTTCTCTTTACTTACAATATAAGAATTACATTTGTACCAAATTTCACGTTTCTACTTAAACAGGAAGTGTCAGTCAGTAACAAAAATGATAACTTTGTAATTCTCCCATTTAAAATTAGTTCAACATTTAAGGCTAATTTTTTTACAGTACTCAAAGCTATTAGATTTTAATCTATGTTTCAAACTTCAAAATCCTATTTTAAGAACGAGGATCAGAAAAATCGGGCGTATTGTTTCGTGTAAAGATTACACTAGCATTGCTAGAACTTGGCCTAGTAAAGTTATATGCTCAGATTTTTGTTTTTATTCCGCATAACAAAGATTACTAACTTAATTTTCAAAATAACGTAACTTTCAATCAATTTTGATATAACAAAATAAATAAAATATCACTTCCGTTAAATCTTTCAAAATTTTCACAAAAATTTTCGAATTACGCCTTTTGAATAATTGAGTGATTTCAATATCGTAGAAAGAACCAACTTGAGACGGCGATTTAACTATGGTTGTAAAATAATTTAGTTTTCATTACTTATTTTTATCAACTAACATTTTGTTTCTTAACAATACTAGTACTGTAGATTGATGCGATTTAAATGATATTAGATGTTTATGTTTGCCTCAATTTGGCCCATTTGACTGTAACTAAATAGTCAGCTTACATTTTTTCATTTTCTTACTACATAAATTTGATTTTGTATTACACACAGAAACAAACTCCAATAAAGGACGAACAGTTTTAATATATCCTATTTTTAGACAAATGTTTAACATGGCATATTTTAACGACTCACATTGATTGTATCTGTACAAAAACCAAGTAATAAAACATAATATTTTATTAAAATAATTTATTTTTCGTTCAATTGTTTGTAATATTTATTTTGGACCGTCAAAATATGATTTTGAAAAAAATAAGTTACCTTGTTTTTGCATAGAACCCTTCAATTATATTTATACGAAACTTAACTACGTAATGCTATCTCGCGAAGAGCTTGTGACAATTAACTTAGCATCAAAATATGCCCATCAAAATATTATTGACCATTGATAAATTAGTAAATAATTAGTTAAATAAATAAAAGATTTATTAGTTCAATATATAAAATCTTTAGTTTCTAATTAGTTAGCTAACTAACTTCTTCTTTTTCCTCACATTTTAGTTAGCTAATTAATTTGTTAAATGTTAAGGCAGTTGATTGGATAATTAGTTTATCAGGTATTATTAATGTTGTAAAAATTCATATTATCACATGGTAACCTTCGCAAAAATGTTAATTAGACTTATTATTTGGAATCAACATTTCGTTTTTATTATTTTAATCATTTTTGTATAAAAATTAATATGTCACGTAAATAATGTGTAAGGTCATTTTAAAAATGAAACATTATTTTTTATAATATACTATAATTGGTTATCAATGCTTGTTACAGTTGAGAGTAGCTTCCATGGTAACCAAGTACGACACACCATCAGTTTTTATAAAACACATCTCATTCTTAAACTTTACAAAGTAATCTATTAAATACATAATTACCTTTACTATTAATTTTAATATTTGTATTATAATAATTAATTTTACTTTATTATAATTTATTAAGGTTTTACTTACCAGAACCAATATATATTAATCTAGTAAGAGATCCTGTTGAAAGAGTCATTTCTTGGTATTATTATATAAGAGCACCGTGGTATTATGTAGAAAGGAAACATGCATTTCCAGATACACCACTACCAGACCCTAATTGGCTTAAAAAAGTAATATATATATATACATATAATATATAAAAATATAATTTTTTGTAAACTAATGAACTGTAATATTATATATATATACACCTTTTTTATATAGGACTTTGAAACGTGTGTCCTTCGAGGAGATAGAGAATGCACATATACACAAGGAGAAAAGAGAGAAGGTATCAGTGATCATAGACGACAAACAATGTTTTTTTGTGGTCATGATGAGGAATGCACGTAATAATTTTTAGTATTCCTTATGAAATTCAAGTTTTTGTATAATTTATGAATATTTAGGCCATTTAATTCAGAAGGAGCACTAGAGAGAGCTAAGCAATCAGTTGAAAAACATTATGCAGTAGTTGGTGTACTAGAAGATTTCAATGTTACTCTTACAGTATTTGAACACTACATTCCAAATTTTTTTAAAGGAGCATCTCAAGTTTATTATGGTAAATTTTTTTTTTAAATATGTTGCAATAATAATTATAACCTAAAAATTCACAGGCGATATGGGTCTGCATAAAATTAATCACAATGCATTTAAACCACAAGTCAGTGAAGCTATTAAAGACATGGTTAGAAAAAATTTTACCAGAGAAATTGAATTCTACCAATTCTGCAGGCAAAGATTATACAAGCAAAGACTAGCATTAAATTTATAGCAAACTTAAGTTTTTATTATAACATTGCTGTCATGTAAAATATAACTAATTTATTCTTCTTTTATTTAATTTTTTTTTTTTAATACCACTTTAAGATTTGAAAACTTTTCTTCAAATAAAAAAAAAAAGAGAAGCATGATATTTTGTTTAATAGTTCTGTTATTAAAATTTTTCAGTTTCTTAAATTAAAATTACTGTTTAAAAAAATAAATTACAATTTGATCATTTTTTTACAAGACAGCAAAAATATAACATATCAACAAGACAAACAGTTCCTCAAATCTATGTACTTTTCATGTTAAAAATGATTTGTTAAAGAATTAGGACATAGTATGTAGATAATAAAAACATATAATTTCAAAGATGGTTTAAATTTTCAACCATTAAAGGTTTTTTGACCTTTACTTATTAAACTTTAATGTCTAATTAACTTTATAAAGATTAAAATATTTTTAAAGTGCAAAATAAATTAAGCATATGTTCTAACCATTTTTAGTAATAGATATTGTATTACATAAACTTAAGTATGTTATTATAAGCCAAATTTATTTATATTAGCTTAATTAATATTTGAAGATACAAATTAATACACTTAAGAATTATAATACTTCACATATATTTGATAAGCATAGGAATGCAGGTCTGACTTAAACCAATAACATTTATTGTGTAATTACTCTCTTTTAACATAAATAAATATATAATTTATATTTCAAAGATTCTCACAAAAAATACTACAGCTTTTAAGTTAAAAATTTCAAATTTTCTGTTCTGATTACATGATAAAATCCATTTATTTTTAAATACTAGCATACTTATCACTATATACATAATAATTTAAAAATTATTAAGTCAACATAATAAAATGATATAATTAAAATAAAATAAATTATTTACATTACAACTTTAGATTTTTTTCGGGCTATCGCATCTTCAACAGCTTTTAGCTGTTTTAATAACTCTTCACGTCTTGAAGGTACTGCACCTTTTTTCTATAAAATTTTAAAGTTTAGTTGAATTTAATAAATAATTAGTTATAAATTATATAAGAAAATTACCCGAGGAGGAGATAAATTTTTGAAAGCATCATCATGATCTGCTTCTATTGCACGCTTTTTACCTTGAATAATTGATTTTTCTAGAAAATATATTATAAATACCAACTAATAAATATTATTACAATTGTTTATAAAAATATACAGTATTACCTTTTTTAACTGGAGGTATAGCAGGTGCAGCCATTTTTTTCTTTAAGTTTAATTTAATTTGTGATTTTTGTGCCTAAAAATATATTTTTAATGAATGAAATAAAATAAAGCTAAGTGATAAATTTTACTTTTAAAAGTTCCTTTTTTGCTTCTTGGTCTCGTTTCCTTATTTGCCTATGAGTTCCACTTCCCTCTGAAGAGGATTCTGAATCACTTGACTCAGATGATTCTGAAGAGCCAGAGCCAGAACCAGATTCATTACTTGATGATGATGAAGATGAAGTATGAGTACTGGAAGGTGATTTAGCCCCACCTTTGTTTGCAAATCTGGGTGGCATTGGCATTTGACGCCCTCTAATATTAATAAATATCATTGTACAGTGTAATCGTATATAAAAAATGACTAAAATAATAATACCTTTGAATAGGAGGCATGATTGGACCCGAATGAGTAGGTGAAACAGACCATCGGTTTGTTGGCATAGGAGGATTCATGGATCGACTAATTAACTTTTTATCAAATGCTTCAGGCGATAAATTTCTCTCTATATAAAATGTTTGATTATTTTTTAATAAAAATTAATCGAACAAATATTAATTATTTACCTGGTTTTCTAAGAGATTTTCTGCCTGGTGAAGTTTTAAAAGGTGCTGGTTGTTTTTTTTTCAATTTTGACATTGAATTTGATCTGGCCCTAGATCGACTACGAGAACTGTAGCTTGAGGCACTTGAACTACTACTAGATCTATAAGTAAAATATTGAAATTTAAAAAAGTAAACCTAAATAAATTATATTATTATGTAAATGTTTAACTTATGTAAGTCAAATCATAAATTTCTTATGTCTTAAAATATAGAATAACTAAAAAATGTTCGCTAATATTTTAAAAATGTATTAATTACATTACCTAGAAGATGAAAATGAAGAATGAGAAGAATATGACTTTTTTCTTCCTCTCAATTTTGAACGACCACCAGGTGATTTTGATCTCATCCAAGGATCAGCCCAATCATCTCCTCTATGAGGTCGGCTAGATGATCTATCTCTTCTATTTCTATGTCCAGATGGTTGAGGACTAAACAGTAGATTTAGTTTAATTAAAAAAATATTCAAATAAGTTAAAATTTGAAAATCTAGTATGCGTCGCAAATACCTATAAGACTTTTCAGTTCTTTGAACAATAACTTCTCGATTAGGAGGATACTTGGGAGGTAAACCTCGATGATGAGGTTTTAAACCAGGATGGTAATAAGGATCCGGTGGAGGATATGGATAATATGGATTTCTTCGAGGAGCAGCATGGAAATCCATAGGGTGCCCAGGAAAATGGGGTAAGGGTCGTCCATGATGTGGAGGCCAATATTCTGGACGATGATGATAAAAATCTACATGCGGAGGAATGAAATCTTCCACATACGCATCAGGAAGAGGGCCACGATGATGGCGAGCTTCTAAATCTGATTTACTAATTTAATAAAAACATAAACGAATTATAAATTAAAATAATTGCTCATAAATTCAAACATAAAATATTATGAGATTAGTGCTAAATTCTATAAAATGAGAAGGGTAATTTTATCATATTAATTATATCATTCTAATATATAGATCAAAATCTCTTTCATCAAAAATAGTTACACAGTGAATATACAATTCAAAAAATTTGTTATATATTCCCCATTATAAAAAAAATATGCGTACGCTACTTACTGAAGATACCAACTATATATAAAAACTAGATACGATTATTTAATTTGATAGTTCAGTTCTAATATCTATAAATTTAAAAAATTGGAAGTTTTATAGATAAAATTGAGCATCATGCTTGTCACAAATTAATAAATTGACAAATTTCTTGAATTTTCCAGTCAGTTTTTAAAAAAATACCTAACTTAAGGAGTGTAGATACACAGTGATTCTTTTAACACTAGCCTCTTAATTTCTCTTAAAATAATAATTTTTTGGATTATTTGTTTTTTGATTTTGTTAGATACATATGTATCTGCATTTATCAATTTTAATTCATTTTTAGGTCCATTCCTTATGTCTTATAGAGATATTAACTTTATTTATTAGATAAGAGATGGAATATATCAAATTAAATCTGAATTTCTTTTTGCTGTTCTTAACTAAATATTTAAGAGAAATTGAGCGGCTTAAGTTAAAAGAATGCTTGTATAATTTTTAGGGGTGTGTGATTTCATTAATCACCCTAATGTTTTTTTTTGTTATTTGTTAAAGTGCAACAAATGGAACTTAGCTTTCAAAAATGTTGAAAATTAACTCAAATAACAATTTATATATATGATAGAATTAATCGATTTTTAAAAAATCCAGGTAAATAATGAAATTCTCTAACCATTTTAAAATCCTTTTACATTTCCATACTTTAGGCTCAACCAAGAATCAAATAATAACGAATAGATAAATTTTTCAATTTTTTACGTACAATCTTTCAAGAGGAGGACTTATTGCAGGTGCTACAGCAGGGCTAGAAGGACGTTGGGCATAATAATCATTTTCTTTTTCTACTTCTTCTTGATTAGATGTCAAATTCATTTTTTTTTCTTCAAAATCTATGTCTGTTTCTTTTTTCTTATTAGATTTTTTCAAAATCTAAAAAAATAAAAAAAAATTTAGCAACTCAGTAACTAATTTTTAATAATAATGAATAAAATACTAAATATACCTCTTTAGCCTGACGTAATCCTCTTTCCCATGCAGATTCTACAGGAGGAACATCTTCTTTTTTAACAGGAACCAAGGGTATTCCAGGAATCTAAAATAAAAATTTTAATTTTAAAATAAAATTTTTTTTTTATAAATTATTAAGAAATTACCAAAGGACGTTCATGAGGTCGATAGGGATCAGGTGGAAAAAATGGTAAGCCGCCTGGTGGTGGTATTGGTCGAACCATTTCAAACATTGAATAATTTCCTTTGTCAGTAACACCAGGATGCAAAAATCTAGATACACCAATCTAGATAGATTCATTTATGCCAATATATTTTTACCAGCATATTACTCACCGACAGCTCGCACCCCATGTACATTGTCCTCTGGAATAAAAACGACAAATTGGTCTTGGTTCAGTTTCTTCAGGACGATGTTCACCTTCATCAGAAACTTCACCTTCTTCTAATTCTTCTGGTAGTTTTTCTTCTTCAGCTTTAACATCTTCTTTAGCCGGTTTGAGTCCATCACATTCTCCATCTTCACCTTCTTCTGCTTCAAAATCAAGTGGTTCTTCAGAATCGTTCACAGTAATAGGTTCAATTTTGGCATCCATACTATCATGACCATTAACAGGTATAGCGTCGTCTTTAAAATTTTTATTACGATTAAAATTCCACTCTTTATTGCTTTTCTGAAAATAAAAATAATTGAGTACAATTTAAATGATTTTCAGATAAATAATGAAATAAGATATAGTATTAAATTAAACATACTGGGGTGATATTTTCTTCACTGTTTATATTGTCCATAGAATCTTCATCAGACACATCTGATAAATCTTCAGCATAATTAACTGGAGGTTTTTTATCTTTATCAGATTCTCTACTTCTTGAAGAACTTTTCGATGATGCTTGTGATGCTTCATCTGTTGCTGATTCAGCAACAGATGATGCATGACTTGAAGAACTTGAGACAGAACTCGGACTATTAGACTGATTTTGTTGTTTGGGACTACATGCTCCATCAGCAATTGGACTTTGAGGAGTAGAATTATGACTGGAAGGTGTTGGTGAACGGCTAATAGATTGTTCTCTGATTTCGGTTTCTGGAGATGCAGAACGACTAGAATTGGATTGTGAATCATCTGAATTTGAAGAATTTTCAGATTCCATTGGTGCAAACTAAATGCACAGATTCTAAATAAAAAAATATCATATACTTATGCAAAATTATTTAAATATAAATAATATTTTATTGAAAATTTACTAAAAAAAAAAAGTTTAATAAGTAATAACAAAAATAAATTTAGAATTTTTTTTTTTAAGTTATTTTTTATTAAAAAGTTACTTAAATAAATTTAATGTAATTAATTAATACAAAATATATTTCATAGAAGCATAACAATTAATCCCGAAATAGGCAAAGTCTAAACATGGCGGATTTTTTTTGATCTTACCTTCTGTTGCGGCCAACATTTCGAAGTGCCATAATATTAAACGGGAACGCACTGTTTATTGTAAAATACATGACCGTTTTAATAATTATTACAAAGTTACGGAAGAAAAGCAATTAGCGATATCAATATACTATTGATTTAACACGACACAATCAACTTTATAAATTTAAAAAAAAAACTACTCGGATATCGATACAACCAAAAGAACTTCCAGCAAATATATTTACTTAAGTCTTATTAAAGTTCGCTGAAAACTGATTAAGAGAAAGAAGATAATAAAATGCATAAGATATTAAAAAATAATCATTAAAAAACATGCTATTCGCGTGTCTTACACAACTGTAGTGTACACGATTAGTATATATTATGAATTTTTGTACAATTAAATTAACATATATAAGCATATTACCTTAAAATTCTATGAGCCCTGCTGTGGACAAACGCAAATACTCCTCTACTTAAAATAAATCACATGAATTGGCAGTCTTTGGTAGATGGTAATTCAACTGTCATCCCCGATTTTAATATTTATGTTTTGCTAATATTTATTTATAAGGACGACTTGATCAAATCACCGACCAAACAGCCAAAGAAAATGCCGAAAACATACATATCATAATAAAAACAATAATCAAAATGGCGGTGTGTCAGTGTATGATTATGGAGGGGACAAGCACAAAAATGTACCGTACTAACAGTGTTATCAAAAAACTTGATTATATCTCGGAGCTTACCATGTCTTAAAATGTACTTTGAAATAAAAAAAAATAATACATTAAGGAATTTATTATCTGGTAAATGTAATAAATTAATTAATATGCATACTGTTAAACAACAATCTGATATTTTTCATCTAATATTATAGAATATTAAATATTCAAATATATTAAGAGAATTTATGTTATTCAACAGTAAAACTATTTATTTTAAAAAAAATTGACTTAGTGATCTAATAATTTTGTTTAAAGATCAAACGAAACGTAACATAATATTTATTAACAACCAGCATAGTATAATCACAGACTATATACGAAAACAATTTTCGTATAATCTTGTTTTCTTATCAATGTCTGTCATATTTAAGATTCATGTATTGGTTAAACTGTATTATTTCAGACAACAAATAGTCATAAAAGTACTCGCTGATATTCGAGTTCAAAATAGTTTTGTAATTAAGTTGTTAAATTACGGTAATTTCAAATTTGAAATTGTTTCAACATTCAAATAAATTTTACCGATTTTTATTAATAATGTGTATCATTTTAAAACATTCTTGATTTTTGATGTGAGAGAGAATAACTAAAATATAAATTTATGAAGGCTATTTTATTTTATACATTCCAAGAGTTTTGTTTACTCATGAAACTCGAGGTGAATAAATGTACATTGCATTAAACAATGATGACTACTATTAAAAAAAATGTATAAATAAAGTTTAAGTAAAATCATTATGACTTTGATTAAGTGTTATCTTTTATCTGCATACATGGAATACTATTTCATTAGATTATCATGACTTATACTTAAAATTAGATAATAACGATTTAACGATACATTTAAACATTAAATCGAAAGAAAATTGTTAAGTAGTACTATTTAATTAATGTTCACATTTAAAAAATATAAGTTTATATTTTTAAATTATTTTATTGATCGCACATAGGTAATAAAATTGAAATTCTGAGTGTAAAATGCTCAACATACAATAAAATTGCCAAATTATTTAAATCTAGTGTTGATGTGTTAAATTATAACAAAGTAGCTATTTTGTTTTTTAAATTATATATTAAACTAATAAACAGAAAAATTTTTGTTATAGTGTTAGAAAATGAGTGGTTATACAGAAGAAACATACACAAACTTGCTGAACAGCTTTAGAACCAATGATTTACAAGTATTATTGGGAACATTTGGTTTCAGTACAACAGGTCGAAAGGCTGATCTTAGAGATCGAGCTGCAGAGTTATTAAGGAATAAACCAACTAATTTTAATTTTAATGCATTTTTATCCAAAATTGTTGACATTCATCATACTTCTTTTCGTGAAAATCGTTTACCTACAAGTAATAACAATTTAATGCGAAGTATGTTACAAAATCAATCACACAATATGATACCTATTGGAATGCAGCATCATCAACAAATGTTTCAACCAAATCAGTATTTGCAACAACAAATGAATATGTCACGTTATAGATTACCCCAAGTCACACCACAAATGCCAAAGAGTATACCTGAGAATGGACATTTACAATATAATTATCCATCTCTAGCACCACGTAGTATGGTACCTCGAATATCATCTAATCCTCAAAATATGGTTCAACCTAATCAAATATTACCTAATATGGGAAGACCAACACTTAATAGAAATAGTGTCAACCCAGTTACAATACTTCCTAATAATTTAAAATTAAAAAAGTTACCTTTTTATGAAGTTATTGATGAAGTTATTAAACCAAGTTGTCTTGACGGCCAAGAACAATGCAGTGTACCAAATGCTCCTAAAGGTATAATAATATAGTATTCCATATGATATTCTTTTATTTATGTTTTAATATATAATTTATTGATATATTTACAGGTATGAGAGAGATGTTTTTCAAAATAAATCTTTCGCCTGAATGGGCTACCCATATTTCAATGAATCGTGATATATCAAATGGTAAAAGTGAGTACACATTTCAAATACAAATTCGTATCTGTCAATTAGAACCAGATACCGAAATTTCTGACTTCATGCCTCTTGGTGTACATATTCGTGTATGTGGAAAAGTATGTCAGTTACCACCAAGTGCTCCTAATATTAAACCTGGTGTTGAAGCAAGACGAATACCTAGGCCAATTAATTGTACTCAACATCTTAAACTCAATCCTAATATTTCAAATCCAGTTATTGTAAATTGGATGCCTGATGGAAAAACATATGTTTTTTGTGCATATTTAGTAAAAAAATTAAACGCTGAATCATTGTTGAAAAAACTTCAAGAAAAAGGAGCAAGAAGTGCTGTAGAAACTAAAAATAATATTATTAAAAAGTTAGCTGATGTTGATCCAGATTTAGCTACTACTTCATATAGATTTTCCTTAGTATGTCCCTTAGGAAAAATGAGAATGAAAATTCCAGCTAAATCAACAAATTGTGATCATTTACAATGCTTTGATGCTAGTATTTTCTTGTTAATGAATGAAAAGAAACCAACTTGGACATGTCCTACTTGTAGCAAACCATGTATTTATGATGACATCAGAATAGAATCATATTTCTTAGATGTAGTTTCTAGCCCAAATCTTCCAGAAAATTGTAAGGAGATAGAAATAATTGCTGATGGTTCATGGAAAGTTTATGAAGAAGAAAAAAAATTGAACAATTCAGATTATGTTTCAAACTCCAAAGAGAAACCCATAGATTCTGTTGATTTGGATGATGATAGTGATGATTGTAATGCCGGTAATTCAAATGAATCAAACAATGTTCCTAATCCAGAGTTTTCCATAGAACCAGAAAATTTAAAATCAAGTTTTGTTGATTTAACAATAAGTGATGATGAAGAATCTGTTCCTAAAGATAGAGATAAGCAAGAAAATGAAGCTGTTCCAGTTGAACATGTACAACCTGTATCTAATAAAGCTTTAGAGCCTCATGCACAACAAATACAGCCCCAGCAAGCAGTGACTAGTTCCATGCAAGGTGTTATAATAGAATTAGACAACAGTCTTTCTCCACCTTCATAATATCATGAGACTAATGTAAAGGTTACAATTTATTGGTTTAAATTTATTTTGTTAATATTTTAATTATTTGCTATTCATGAAAATTTTATCTATTTTTTAATGACTTGTAAATATATTATTAACAAGAAGTAAGATTATTAAAAATTAATTAATGTATTAATTAATTATTTTTAATTTTATTTGAACAAACAATTTTTTTACTTATATATTTTTTTTTGTAAGATATTACAATTTTTTTACATTTTTTAATATTCATTTATTTTTATATGTTGGTAATTAAAATAATTTGTTAAAAATATAATTTTTGTATATTGAAATAATGTGATTGTTATTAAATTGTATTTTTAATCTATTTCTTAAGTAATAAAATTAATTTTATAATACTTTTTGTTCTAAAAAATTCATCACTATACATTATATGTATATTCATTATTATTGTGAGGGGTTTTATTTGCCCTTATAAAAACCCTTATGCAGGAATATGTTGGCTTTATCAATCAAAGAACTATATTTTACAACTATAATTATTTTCCAAGAATAAGGATATATTCCTTTTTTGCTTTCTAAATAGGCATCCTTAATAATTATAAGAAATTTATCATAAATTTTATAATTATCATTGTTATAAAAAAATCAACTATTAATGTCTTATATTATTTTGAAACTCAACATTAACAAAATTTCGACATTTTGAATTAAAAAATTACATAGATATTTTGCATCTTTTTTTAATAAATTTTAAGTTAATATGGACTCAAAAGTATTTACATTATTTAAATATATATATTTTATTAAGCGAATTTATATACTCATACATATTGTATACATAAGAGCTATAGTTTTTACAATTTTTAATTGATAATTAATAGTTTACCTTACTAATAAGAAAAATATATTATTGTGTTAAAGTTTATAAGTAATAAATTATTACTTATAATTATATTAGAAATTGCAACTTCATGGTTGAGTAACATCAAATGTACCGCCTTTTTATGGCTATGTTGGTAGTATTTATTTATCAGATGTTGCTAAACCTGTAAATATACCAGCTGCGTGATAACATTAATTTTTGTAAGAATCTGAATGAATTTGTAAATTAAGTATATTCGGACAAAGTGTGCTTTTATAATCCAGTTTTTATTCAAATTATTATATTAATTAAAATGGCTAGAAGAATTGCTCAGTCGTCTGTTAATTGGATTGCTATTAGTGAACGTGTTCCAGAAGCTGAAAAAGCTGCTTATTTAGCTTTTAAAGCTAAATCTGATGGCTACCTCCGAAAGTACGTAAAGGTCATTCAAATATCATTTTTGACCGAATAAAATGTTTATCCTTAAATATTTCTTAAATTAAAATTTTATAGATTAATATAAGATAAATTAATAAAAATAAATATATAAATTTACATTACTATAAAGTTTTTTAATTATTGAATGAAATAATTTGCAGAATGTTGGCGTCATCCCCAGAAGCACCTAAAATTGATTGGGCCAAGTACAAGAATGCTATTCCTATCGCTGGTTTAGTTGAAAATTTTGAAAAGCAATACAATGCTGTTAAAATTCCATATCCTGAAGATAAATATACAGCATCTATTGATAGCTCTGAAAAAAAAACTGTACATATACTATTTGTTTATTCCTATACATTTTTATGACTTTAGAAAATTTTCTTTAAAAATATTCCATTCAGATTTAAATTTTGTAATGTGAATAAACTAAAGTAAAGTGTTGTATAAATGCACTTGAAAATTAATCAAATTTTACTATTCAACTAGCCTTATTTTCAATGAATGTACCATTATTATCATACTCTACCTAAATGTTAGGATTGATTTTTTCAATTATTTTTTGTATTGTTGAATTCTTAATGTCTTATTGACAAAAACTATGACTGGAAAAATTTGGAAATACTGCATATAGGAGATATATGTATGAAAGTTCCAAAATAAGATTAATTTTCTATTATTATGCAGCAAATTGGTAAAGAAAACCATAGATCTTTAATTACTTTGAACCATCTAATTAAGAGAAATAAAAAAACACTTAAAAAGAATTGTTTATAATAGTTGTATAAAAAATTTAAAAGTTATATTTTTGTGCTTTTAAATTTTACTATTTATTCATGTAATTTCATTGTCTAATTATTATATTTTAATTAAATAACATCTTTTTGAAAATTTAACTTAATATCAAAATTTTTTTTTTATTTAAAATACCATTATAAGATTCTAATTCCTACATAAATTGAATATAATTTAATTATATTAGTATTATTTCTTAAAAGTAAATTAATTGCTTACATCAAAAAATTAGACATATGAGAAATGAAATGTAAGGAATAAATTAATTCCAAATATTGATTTTTATATGTATTAGTTTTCATTTACTATTTATCAATATTCTCTTATCATAAATTACAGATGCAGGAAATAGACGAATTTAAAAAGATAGCTGCCTCTAATATTAAAGAAGCAGAAATAAGGATTGAGGAAATTAAAAAATTGTTGCCATATTCCCAAATGACTTATGAAGATGCTGCTTATATTGAGCCTGATCTGACATTAGATCTTGAAAACAAGCCATCATTCTGGCCTCATCAAGAAATTGATTATGTATTTGATGAGCCACAAGAAGAAGGTTCAGAACAAAAGAAAGTTGAAGCTGGTCATTAAATTATTCATTTCTTAGTTACAATATAATTTTACCCAATTTGCAAAAACGTTTTGGTATAAATATTTATATAAAAAAAAAATATATTGTAGTATTATTATAAATTGTTTTATTTCATAAAAATCTTAGTCAATTTTACTAAGATTTAATTACAGATAAAATGTTTAGTGTAAAATTGTATTCATAACATTATAAAATTCTAGCGTTAAGAGACTAGTTTAATAAATTTATTTTTCTTTTACTAAGTTTTGTTAATATTTATCAATCTTTCCTTAAAAAAATTTCACACTAAAAGCTATTTTAATTAGTTTACTCATGCCATTAATTTATATGTAAATTTGATTGTTATAAAATTTTTAATAAACCTTGTTACCAAATATTTATTAGTTGATGATATAAAAAAAAAGATAATGAAGTGTATACACCTTTAAAAGAAATATTGGTTAAATCTAAAAAGTATGTGAATAAACAGTTTAAGTTTAATCAATATAATCAGAAAAATCTAGTATATTATACTCATGCACTTGACTATAACAATGTATTGGTGGTTTTTTCTAGTGTAGTAAGAGAGTTAAAAATTGTTCGAATTCTATGAATAAGGATTATCAGTTATATTAAATTATGATTTATCTGATTGCATTATAAGTATTATTATATTACTATTTATAAAAAAAAATAATCATTATATCCAATACTAAACGTGAAAAGTGAACATAACACTTAGAGTAACCTGAGGTAAAAAAAACATTTTATTATCTATTGCATATAACTTGAAGTATAATGTAATTATAAACATTTAAAAATTTTTATTAGCTAGACAAACTATCAACAAATACAAATTTAGTATTAATAATTAGATTTGAACTTAATATAATGAATGATGAACTGAAATTTTGAATAATGTTTATTCTCCTCTCTAAAACAAATTGCTTATGCTAGAGATAACGAAAAACCTTAAATAGCTATACAATGGAATCAAATCATGATATTTATGCATTGCGACACGACGCTTTATCAACTGAGCTAGGTAGGCCGCCCAAAATAAAATCGTACATTTACCCCAGTGATAGTGTAAAAATTAAATTAGAATTAAGTTTTAACAAGAAAATTAATGAATAAATAACTGTTTAAAGAAATCTTTTACTCAAAATAATAACAAAATTTATTGAATTTAATCATTTTGCAATTTAATATCACAATATTTAATTATAATAAAAAACGGTAGCACAGTGGGGTCGCGGCATAGTAGAGACATTGCATAGTAGGGTCCAGTATAGATTTAATCTGACAGTGATTAAAATCACTATCATAAGAAACGCTTCGATGCAAATCTGTAGATAGTGTTTAATTTTAAAAAATTGATGGATAATTGCAAAAGCAACATCAACTTCTATTAAAATAAAATACAAAACCCATAATTATCATACAAAAATAGTATATTTTTCAATATGGTAGCCATTTGCG